GGGACAAGCAAGACAGTATTATTTCTTTAGAGGCGGCTGAGATGCTATGGGGGGGGGGGCAGGGATTGCACTTCCCTCCACAGTTAAAAGAGGGATAATTAGAGCAAGTGGCAGGCGGCTGCTCTGCCGTTTAGCATACAGCATACCCAGGAAATCTCACTTGGTAATCAGGAGGAGAGGAGGAAAGAGGAGCAATCAGACCCCTATTCAGGCTCCGTTTAGCAACAGCCCCTGCTGGCTCACTGGGCAGGTCCCATCCAAAGCCTGCACACTGGGTGGGGAACCAAGTTGCAGAAGCAGTGGTGTCCCTCCTTTGTGCACATTTGCTTCTGGGCTACCTTCTTGCATCCCAGGGAAGGAGATACTGAAAGGAGGTGTCCTTTGCCCTCTGATGACTCACCACCACTCCCCTTGCCAATCCCCCTTCCGAAGCCATTCAGGGTTGACACAGATTAGGAGTAATGTTATATGACTGTTCCAGCAGCAGCATGTGCACTGGGAAGAGGTGGGGAGGGGTCCTTGTTATTACACAAGGGACCAACACAGGAGGACCCAGCTGGGGCAGTCACTGACCTTTACTACAGCATCCATTGTCTTTGTTGTTGGTGGTAGTAGCACTATCAAGTAAGACCCCAACTCATGGAGACTCACTGTCTTTGGACCTCAGTAAATGCTCAGGGGTAACCACTTCCTCTTGGTACACTATTCCATCCTCATTCTGGTTTTGAGAGATGGGGAAGAGTCATATAGTGAACCATAAAAAAGAAAAGTAATTGGAATTCACTTTCAGGAAGCCATCCCAAGGCCACAGTGGTGATGAGCCATCAATCAAATCAACCTGAGTAGGATGTCAGCTTTGACCAACAGGAAGGATGGGGGATGGGACATCAGTGGGTGTACCACACTGTAGTGTGATTCCTGTTAACAATACCCATCACTGCCCACAGTTCACTATAGGGTCCCATCACCTGAAAACCTAACAGTTGGAAATGAGACATGATGCTCCTAGTCCAGGCACCTGCCCACATCAGCAGGAAAAGATAACATAAAAATGAGCCATTTTTTTTCTTTGCCAACAGAACAGAACTTCATGCCTCTTCACTGAATTAACCTAAAAATGTGGGCACACAAATCATATGTCATGGGTAGGCACATGAAATAGGTTCAGGAATTTAGATCAACTTGTTATGGCTTCTCTCTTTTTACTTGGCCCCAACCCACTTGCAACAGCTAACTTCATGCTAAAGGACATCTGCAAGGAAGACTGTACTGAAATGTATACACTTTGGCAGTGAATCAATTCTTCACAGCCATAAGACTGTTGAGAAATCCAGTACATGCACATTCATAACTAAGAATGTCTTAAAAAATACACAATCAAGTCTAAATTTATTTCAAGGTAATGACAAACTCTCAATGACCCACAAGGGACTGCTCTCTAGAGGGAGCTCAGGGTACTTATTCATCAGCCAGTGCACTTCAAGGCTCCTCCTGGCAGGACAGACTGAGCTAAACAACAGCAAGTGACTATGCTGTGCCACCACTCCACATATGCATCATTTTGAATTATCTGCACTTCTTCTGTCCTCCAAGACCATTGTTGAAAAGGCAAGATTAAATTCCATTGTGAACAAGTCTGAAGTTGAGCACCAAAACATTCTATTTTGAAAAAAATAACACCTACAAGTAAAAATCTAGGACCTCATCTCCCTCTGTCATGTGCCACATGAGTTGGGTTGAGTCTTAGAATAAAGTAATAAAGTTTTCTCAAGTAAGTCTGTGTGGCATTCACTCTGCTGCCAAAGCTAATAGCCCTTCCCCACTTGAAACAGAAGACACTCAGGTCCATTACCTCTGACCCCAGGCCCAACTCCCCTACAGCAACTATGTCCAGTGTCTTCCAGGCCTTACCTAGAGAAGATACCCAGTGGGTTCTCACAATAGTCCAAGTACATGAAAGAGTTGGACCTCATCTGTGCATCTTCCCGAGGCACAGCATGGAGAAATTTTGAAGCCATCAAGACATGGAGGAGAACCAGGCAGGCCAAGCAAACAGCAACACTGCAGGCCAGCTAGAAGCTAATGAACCACAGAGGGCGCCTCCCACAGGCTCTAGCCACATTCATCTGAAGCTGCAGGAGCCCTTTCAGCTCTTGCTGCTCTTTGAACTGCTAAAGCATCAAGTGCAAAAGGGACCTTCCACACCTGCTGCAAGCCCTCACACAACCCAATGACAGGGCCCATGCTGCAAATGAGGACAATCAGGCACCTGGTGCATAGGACCAACAGCTGGGAATAAGTCCCCTGGCTTCAGCTCTGTGCCATGTGCCATTTAAAGGTGGGGAGAGGGAGTGGGTGCATCCTTACTACCCACATCCTCATGTCTTTAGGAAAATGGGCATCCTGTTTTATGCAGATCTGCTTGATGCTTCACAGCTGCTGTGATTTTTTTTTTCCCCTTATTTTATAGGTGAGTTTTCCCTGCTTACTCTCTCAAAATTAATGTGTATTGAGAGAATGGATAGTTTCTAATAGTCTGTGGTGCATTTTTGTGATTGATTAGACATGATGATAATTACTGGGATCAATAGGCTCTATTTATCCACAGTAAATTCTTTTACCTCTCCCAAAATTCTCTTTCACTTTAGTCTTTGCCCTGCCCTGCTTCCCTTCCAAGCTGACCAAGTGCTACTGTGACTACAGAGTTTATTTACTGTACATGTCAGGAGGATAAATAGTTACACCGTGTGTTTGCATTTACAGATAGAGGTAGCAATCCACAGCCAGGAGATGGTCAGGTCCTTGCAGAAAGAAATATTATTAAAATATATAGATTGTGTTTAGCTATTAAAAATCAATTGCACACAATCTGCTTCAAAGCCATTCCAATGGAGACTAGGGGAAAAAACACACACACCAACAAAAAAGAAAAAAAAAAAAAAAAAAGAGAGTGAGAGAAAAAAACGGATTATATACATACACAGTATAGAGATGCTTGTTGCAGAAAGTGCTGATCCAAACCTGCCCAGAGGAAATGAGTTCTTTTTAAACACAAAAAATGCAATCAGGGGTAATCAGCAAGTTAACAACACACTTGCAAACACCCTGGTCCCTAGAAAGGAAGAATGTCAGCTTTCAATGCAAGTTCTGAGAACAGAACAGATCCTCTGGGCAAATGAGAAAACAAGTGATCACGTCAGCGTCTTCAGGCAGAACTGTCTCCTAAGCCAAGATGCTTGGGAACAGCCGTCAGCTCCAGAAGGGACCTGTATGTGAGAAGCACTTCAATAACCACATTCCCAAAGTGGCTTTCTGGGCTGGGGTAACCTATAGTATTTGTCTGCACCTCTATTTCTAATGAGTCCAACAGGGAAAAACAGAAGCCCCAGGAAAGGATGGCATGTACATCTGGCAAAGGAAGGGGGATAGGTTGCCCAACACACAAGAGGAAAGTAGAAACCCGGGGAGAGTGCTATCAGTGTCCCGTAAACAGCCTGCACTGAGGCCACGAACAAGGTCCTGAGAAATGGTCTCCAATGTGTCTTGATCTCCAGCACATGTCACCTGTGAAATAAACTTTGTTTTTATTTATTAAAAAAAAAAAAAAAGGAAATAGGCATGGTGGCTAAAGTACATATCAACCTGCTTCAGAGGCTGGTCTACTCCAGGACAGTTTAAGGAGCACCTGCTGACACCATCAAGAATCACAAATCCTGAAGTAGTAGGTCCTCGCTTGAACAAAGAGATCCTGGGCATCAGTGATAAGACTCTCCCCTGGCCTCACCCACGTGACCTCCCTCAGCTCCCTGTGCTAGTCAGTTCTCAGCCTTGGCTGCACATTGAAATCATCTGGGGAGCTTTAAAAATAGATCAATTCTTGGATCCCACTCACAGAGGCTCTGATTGGACTGGTTTGGGGGTATGGGCTGGGTGAGGTACCCCAGGTGATCCTAAGGTGCTTCCAAGATTGAGAATCACTGTTCTTCCGAGTACCATCCTACTCTCTCCTTGAAAAGACCAGATACAATGGCAACATAAACAATACCATTAGAAGGATCCAAGGCTTAATTAAAAAAAAAAAAAAAAATAGTGGGAAACATAATTTCCTTGCCTCTTGGTCATCCCAACCTTTCAATACACATACTTGTGTGATCAGTTCTTAACACTTAATCACTTCGATACATTTTGGATTTTAAGAATATGTCAAATTACTGAGATCTCAGCCACTTAGATTTAATCCCATGGCAGCAAAAAAAAAAAAAAACAAACATGTACCCAAGGCCCCCTTTCCCTCCGTCTCTGGAAATCGTAGTCCAATTTGGGAGGTTCTTCAGGCTGTGCTGAATATTGCCAGCATACCTGGCGTTTTGGCTGGACGTGGTTCCTGTCAATCTCTATGCCTTTCTACACTGTTCTCAGTAGGTGGAGAGAACTGGTAAGGAAAACACATCTAGCGATGGACTCCTGTAAAACAAATCCTAGAACAAGGAGGCTCACCTGCAGATGCCTCAGCCATCCTCTAGAAACTGCCCATACAATTGCGGGAGAAGGAGCATACCTGAAGGGTTGGGTATACACCAGGGCCAAACATGACCTGGCAATCCATCCATTCTCATTCTTCTTTGCATAGGCATTTCTTCTCATGCTGGCAATGATGGAAAGTTTTCTATCCATTCCCAGTGTCCAAGTCTCAAAGGGTCAAGAGGGATAGAGATGACTGCTTTGCCAATTGCTATCTGATTTCTTGCTCTGAGTTCGGGCACAAACTCTACAGCCTATTCCATCTAGCACTTTGAGTACAGACTAACAGTTGAGTATAGACCCCATGGTTGAGCAGCCAGAGTTCTCTTCCTGCTGAGACCTCATGGATTTTCCATGAGAATCAGTAAAGGATTCCTACCACCTCCTCAGAGAAAGGGGCCTAACTATCTAATATGCAGCTAAGGAGGCACTTTAATGACAGAGCTGGTTTCTATTGGGGGTCTCTGGTCTCACTCAACCCAGTGGGTGGTTCTCTAGCAAGAGAGGGATGGTGAAGAGGGCCTTACCTTCTGAGCAGAGCTTGCCACCATAGCCAGTGGTCGAACAGTCACAGGTGGGGTGGCCATCCAGGAGAAAGCAGATTCCACCATTCTCACAGGGATGCTCACCACAGGGTCCCTCGGCATCCAACTGGACGCCCTGGCTCCCCAGAAGCCGAGGCTCTGAGTTGCCATACTTGAGATCCAGGATAAATCCTTTGAAGCCGGGCATAGCCTGTACTCCGTCGAGGGTCAGGGCAGAAGATCGTATGTCTGCAGGGACTCCACCAAGGAACAAGTCACTGACCACATCCATGTAGGGCCTCTGGGGCTGCAGCTGCCCAGACTGGCCCTCGCCGTCAAGCACGAGCACAGTGCGCAGGCGGTCACGGCTCACCATGAGGAAGTGCCAGCTGCTGTCATTCACTTGTTTGTTAGACAGCAGAGCAGTTTCTGCACAGTCCATGCTGAAGCGGAGCTGGACACGGCCATCCACCAGGGAGAGGCAGAGGAAGTCACAGACTCCACCATCATCCAAGTACAGGAGCAGCCCCGTGGAGACGTTAGTCTTGAACTGGAAGCTCAGGTCACTGCGTGTGCTGGCGTCCCAGCGAAGGTAGCGAGCCCACTGGTTGGGGAGGCCCATGAACTCAAGGCCTAGGCAAAGCCCCAACAGAGACCCCAGCAGGACGCTCACCTTCAGGGTGAAGAAAACCGAGTGAAAGGTGAAGCTCATGTTGGCTGCTGGGACAAAGCCCGGAGAGGGGCAGGCCAGGGAAAAGCCAGCAGGGGGGTTGCCCCTTTGGCAACGGAACGGCTGGAGGAAGACGAGTCAGAGGTGGGGGCACAGAGAGAACACAGAGGAAAGAGACACACACACAGAGATACTGAGATGAGGAGGAAGGAGGAAAAGGTGTGAGCTAGAAATTCAGTAACAATAGGAAGAGGCAGAGGAAAAAAGTCAGGAGGAGGAAGTGAGGGGCGAGAGGAAGGAGGAAAGTGTCTTTCTCCAAGAAAAGATCTCAGCTATCCATGTGGATCCGGAGGCCTTGATTCAAGGAGGAGAAGGTGCACGGTGGTAGAAGGAAGCCTTCAAGAATGTTCTCCTCCCAATAGGCCCCCACACGCCCCAGCCAGGGAGGCCGGGCTGAGGGCTGGGGGTGCCGTGATGGAGGAGGAGGGAGCAGTAAGGTGAGCCAAGTGGAAGATAGAAACAGACCAAGGACCAATCCTGAAGTTGTACCTCCTAGTAGCACGGGACCGCAAGGAGGGCAGCAGCCAGCAGCTGAGAGCTCAGGCAGAGCAGGGCCCAGGGCAGGGCAGAAGCAGGCTCAGGCTTCATGGTGCCGGCCAGAGGCAGTCCTGCCCATCACCTGCCTCCCAGGACTCCAGAGAGACCTAGGGCAGAAGGGGAGAGAGAAAGGAGAGGAGAGGATGATTAGGGTCACGTGTCAGGAAAATTGTGCAAACCATTTTAGTGAGGTCCTACAAGCCAGGTTATTCCAGTGATTCCTATGGGGTTCAGCTCTTCCAACAGTAGGAAGGCCCTGGTTCATCCAGAGCCATTGCCTAACCCCAAGCCCAGCTCCTAATGACATGTTCCATTTTTCTACATGCAAAAATGGTGTAAAACCCCTCAAATCTTATCAGCACATTTTTATGATAATATTCAGCTTTCAGGGTCAAATAGGTCAAATGCTAACATTCTGTACATTCACACACACATAATTTTTACTTATTTACCTATTAAAAGACATGAAAATTACATTGACCTTTTTAGATTTCAATATGTTCATTTGCTTGAATGTAGGCAGTCCAAGATTCCTAATTTTAAATATATGAATGAAATATTTATCCAAATCAATCAAAAGGTGAGAGACCATGGTTATTTTTGCTCATTGACAAATGTTGGAGAGAAACCCTCAAACAGACTTAGAGGCATATATATATG